CTCTTGAGTTTTTCAATTTATTCCCTAGCATGAATTCTATTAGTATTGTGGGATGTTAAAATGGTTTACCAGTCAAACAAGACCGCTTCACCAGTGAAGCATTTTGAGTCCAGTCCTGCCACCCAGCCCTGCCTTGCATGGCTAGGGATGCTCCGGCATGGTTGGCAAGGACCATACTGGTAAGCTTACTGGTTAACTGTTAACATCCCTAGCATAAATAACAGACAGGTAGCTGCGTTAATCTGATCTTGGTAAAGCAAAAGGAAAAAATATGTAGTACTTTAAAGACTAACAAGATAGTTTATTAGGTGATGAGCTTTCATGGGGCAGTATGGCTTATTCTTAGAACAATGTTTCCTCAAATCTCATCTGCTATTATCCCTCCTTTACTTACGCTACATCTATGACATCTTTATTTTTTTGGACCCATGGTCAAGAAACACTAGATATATTCCACAGAGATTTTTTTTAACAACCTACACCCCACCATCAGTCTCAGTCTGGACCATTCAACATAAGAGATTCATTTCCTGGACACAACAGTACAAATCACTGATGGCAAAGTCAATACCACTCTCTACAGAAAGTCTGCTGACTGCTATACTTACTTACATGCCTCCAGCTTCCATCCAGGACACACCATACAATCCATCGTCTATAGCCAAGCCCTTAGATACAACCGCATCTGCTCCAATCCCACTGACAGAGACCAGAAACTTCAAGATCTCTACCAAGCAATTCAATTACTGGGGGGAATAAAAAAAACAAATTGAAAGGGCCAGATGAATACCCAGAAACCATCTACTTCTAGATAGGCCCAAGAAAACCAACAATAGACCACTACTTTTCATCAACTATAGCCTCCAACTTAAATCTCTCCAACGAATTATCAGTAACCTACAACCTATACTGGAACAGGATACTACACTCTAAGAGGCTCTGGGTGACAGACCTGTACTCTCCTATAGACAACCACCTAACCTCAGGAAGATTCTTATTAACAACCACAGGCATACCACATTAATACTAATCCTGGAACTTTCCCTTGCAAAAAACCCCATTGCCAACTTTGTCCACATATTTACTCTGGAGACACCATCACTGGACCTAACCATGTCAGTTATACGATCAAGGGCTCATATTCCTGTACGTCCAGCAATGTGATTTATGCCATCATGTGCCAGCAATGTCCCTCTGTGATGTATATTGGACAAACTGCTCAGTCACTTCACCAAAGAATTAATGCCATCAAATCAGACATCTCCACACAGGAAAAACCTGTTAGTCGACATTTTAATCTAACTGGCCATTCCCTTAAAGACTTGACAACGTGCGGATTTCTTCAAAGAGACTTTAACACCAGATTACAGAGAGAGACTTCAGAATTCATGCTTAAATTCGACACGTTGTGAATGGGCCTTAATAAAGATGCGTATTACCTTACACATTACAAAGACAGCCTTCCCACCTATTGATAGTCGTCATAACTCCAGATTAGCCACGTATTGACTTACAATAAAGCTATTTCCTCCTTCCATATCTTTTCCTTGCCCCTCAGCCCCACCTTCTGTTCTAATATCTGATTTGTTCGTTTGTAATTTGCTTACTTTCATATGGTCATGCCAATTCACTTTCAGAATATGATCTGAAAAAGTGAGTCTGCCCCATGAAACCTCATCACCTAATAAACTATCTTGTTAGTCTTTAAAGCGCTACATATATTTTCCTTTTGTTATCCTTAGCATAAAACATTACTGTAGCCACCCTACTTTTGCAGTCCTGGGCCTTATGTGAAAGAAAATATAAGTCATTGTAGAACTATGATCGTTATCTGTTGTTGTTTTTTGGTATCTCAGCTGAATGTTAACTAGAAAATGAGTTTGCTTTCATCCTATTTTTACTTGTGACCTAGAAAGAATGAAGGGGAGGAGAAGCTCAGAAAGTTGGATAGAGCATTAAGGTCCCAATCAAGATTCTTTAGAACATGTCTAATTACAAAGCTTGTACAATAACTAGTGCCACTGAAGCTAAACTTTAACTTTTTAGAATGTGAGCTGAGAACTTCATTTCAATCCATGGAAATAAGGAACTTCTTATAAGTTGCGTCTGTATTACCCAATTCCATTTTCCAAAGTTCCTTGTCACAAAGCACTGTTTGCTACGCACTCATTGTGAAATTTTCATTGTTGTACTTAATGTATCCAAACCTATTTGTGGCAGCAAGCCTCCTGAAAAGTGATTGTAAAATATAATTGGAGTTTAGTCTGAGAGAGTAAATCATGCTTTTAATACTAATTCAGCAGTGAAAAGAAGGAAGAAGTTTCAAAGAGTCAAATGCTCTTAAAACCCTGACAGGCATCCCTTTGTCATCTGTCACTGCACTGTGTAGAACAAGATCAGTGCAACTTTCTATGGGAAGAACTGTCCTTGATTTGTGCAGTTATGTTGTTGCAATACTTTTGTGATATTTTCTCCTTTTTTGGCAATCTCCATTAAGTAACTAAGTAGAACAGTGAGCTGAGATGTAAACCCAAAATTCCACTGACAGAATATTATCTTGGGAATGAAGCCCTTATATTTCTCTAGGGATTAATGCAGGCTCTTAGCACTGACGTGAATTTCTTATTTAATATATTTTTTCTTCACTGAGCTTTGATTCATTACATCATGGTGTAATGTATTTTGTTATCTTTTCAAATGTATTTACAATTATTTCAATTGGTATCTTTATTTTAAATGTCCAGATAGAGGCCTTTGAAACTGAATTCCTGTGTCCATAAATGAGGAACAGCATAGATAATAGTGCAAGCTTCCACGTTCTTTTTTACCCAGAACTGCAAATATGATCTTATTAGGATGCTTTTAAGAAAAAGATGATGATGATGAGCTCTGTGCCAATCCAGTACTGTCCTTTCTGCTGAAACGTGTAGAGAAGTCACTGGTTAGAATGGTGACTTGTGTGTGATAGGGACATTTATCCACTAGGAAGTGTACAGCAGCAATTAGCTATTTTACAGTGAACTGACCTGAAGGAAATTTAGAATATGAAAGAGTCCAGGTGATCGCAACAAAGACTAAGTAGTAACTGTGAGGAAAGGCTGGGGAAAATAAGGTTACATTAATTAGAAACAAACTCAAGATTAAACATGACTGATGCAGGGTCACGCTGTTGCTTAGAAACAATCATTTATCACTGCAAAGAGCTGATTTACTTCATCATAGATGAGTGGATTAGCTACCATGAGAGCAGATTTGGGTTGGTGAGTGAGGAGATAAATGTGCTATCCTTTCTGAGTTTTGAATAGCATTGTGTGTGTTTCAGAGCTCTGAACAGTGTCTTGTATTTACTGTACAACCCTCATGACTGGTAACCTGGTACTTTGATCCAACTTTTATTACTGATATTTTCTTCCAGATTGCCTCAATTGAAAGATTTTGTGAGCTTTTTAAATTTTTTATTTGTTGTATTGTGTTGTTCCTATCTCTAGCTGTTTCTGTCTCCAAATACTCATTTCTCCCCCTGCCCTCCAAAAAAGCAGCAAAGCAACATCTCGTGGCACAGCTATTCTAGCATCATAGATAATTGTCTGTTTGGAGAACATTCAGTCTAGCATTACATGGTTGGCCCACTGATCTTGTTGGCTGATTTTCCTGTTAGGGTTTGTCTAGACTACAGGGTTTTTTAGAAAAAAGTGGCCTTTTTTTTTCGAAAAAACTTTACCTGCATCTAGACTACTGCTGCGTTCTGTCAACAGTACATTGAAAGAACACGGCCGTTTTGTCGAGGTCAGTGGCGGTAAACCTCATTCTTTGAGGAATAACGCCTTTTTTTCGAAAGTCAGCTTTTGCATGAAAACAGAGCTTTTTCGAAAGAGAGCGTCTAGACTCTCTTTCAAAAAAGCAAGCCGCTTTTCGAAAAAATCTTGTTGTCTAGACACTCTTTTTTGAAAAAGGCTTGTAGTCTAGACATAGACTTAGTGGATGAAGTGGGCATTCTGGTTGGTTTTACTAGTTCCAACTGGGCCTTTTGAAACTGTTGACCATAAAATCTTCTTGACCCCTCTGCAGTTTCTGTAAAGGGTGAATTTGAGTGAAAGTGTTAAGCCTGACTTTTGCACAGAGGCCTACTTGGTAAAGGCTATCTTTAAATTACAAGCAGAAAGTATTTGAATATGTTAATCTCCAGTTTTAAGAGTGGGATTTGTATTTGGAAGTGCTTATGTAACTCACACATCTTCTAGATGTGATTCACTGTCCTGTATAGTGGCACTTAGGTAACTTACAGAGAGAAAGAATGAGTTTGCTCTACAGTGTTAGCTGAGAGCCAGCTGGCTTTTAGCTCATGCAGTAGAGATTCATGTGCTGACTTCCAGAGGTTCCAGGTTCGAGTGTGCCTGTTGGCATTACATCTACTTAACACTTCCTTTCCAGAGCCAGGATTCCTGCTCTACTACTTTAGTTGTCCCACAAATATTTATGCAACTTTGTATTTGTTTGAGACTCTTAACTAGCAACTGGTACATATAGGATAACTTACTCCAGTTAACCAGTCTGTGCCGTGCAGCTGAAGGCATGAGGTTAAACCCTGCTGCAACCCTTGTATATGGTCCCTGTGGCTACTCATGATGGAATTTTGTGACTGCAGTTTACTTTAAAAAAATGGCTTGTTTAATTTACACCATGATGAAAATATCCTTAATAACAGGGTTTGTAGTTAAACACCATGATCTGGCAAAAGATGGATGGCTTGCAGCAAAATACAGAAGTTCTATATTTTGGCTACTTGTCACATGTTCTGTTGCCCATGAGCAGATCTGAAAATTCAGAATTATGGTTTGAAGACCAAACCCATTAAATATTTTTGAATTCCCTGTGTCGCTAAGCCTTCTCTCCCCCAGTGTCCCTTCGGCACCGAGTTAGAAATTAAATTCCTCCGGGGAAAGGGTTGTGCTGGTACAACACTCTGGTTACCATGTCTGCTTGTATAATTTTTAATGTAGATAAATACTGAAGAACGTGTTGATGCACCTGATAAGGAGACAATTTTCTGGGATCGCAGTATTCCTGAAGACATGAAAAAAATACAACCTAAAACGGTCCCAGCAGAAAGTGTTACAGTATGGATTGATCCATTAGATGCTACACAGGAATACACAGGTATCTGCTTTTTAAAAACAGACAAAAGTTTGATTTTTATTTACTTTTGATAGGAGACAAATATGTAATTTTTTTCAAAAGAAATTTTATAACAGCTGTTACTTATTAGAGTTTTGCATTAGATGAACTACTCTTAAAAAAGGAGATCCCAAGTAGATATCTTGGCCACAGCTGTTTTCAAAGGCTAGCACTTGGTTGACTGTACAGTTAGGTGGCACTAAAATACATATATTTGTCACTTATGGGTGCAGTTAACTAATACCCATTTCTTATGCTTGAATAATGATGCTAAATTATTCTCAATCAAATATTTTAAATTCCAGTTGACTTATCTGCTCATAGGTCTCTGACTTGTTCCTGGGCTGGACTTAAGAAATGGACATGACTTTTCACAGAATTGTAAATCTTCCTCCTCCAAAGGCTCATGAAGCTGCACAAACAATTTAAAATACAGTGTAGTTCAGTTAACTATGTTTATACTGGTAGTAGTTAAGTCATAAAGACAAACTAAACCACTTGTTACCAACATTGCACTGGTGTTATAGTAATCGTGTATGAAAATTCAAAACCTAGGAAGATCATTCAGCTCTAAAGCAACCAGAATGTAAAATGAAGTCAAGAATGGGAGGCGTTTGTACTGTGATAAGCCCAGATCTACCACTTTCATATAAGAATCGTACGCTTAATGAAAAAGTAGCTCCCAAAATTGAGCCCACTAGGAGCACAGTGTACATCTACTGAACAAAAGAATGTGTGGAAAAACTGGGCAGTTGTCTCGTGGTTTTTAATTTTTTGGTAACTGTAGAATAACTTAAATCAAGATAGAACAAAGTCATATCATAAAAATTTGACTTTTTCAAATGCAGCCTCACAGTGTAATCTATTAAGTTGCTAATGCTGCGTCAGGCTCTTGTTTGTCAATCTATGTAAACCTATAAAGTTAGGCCTTTATTTTGTGCTCTTAACCTATGTGATGTTGAGCTAATTAATTTGTCTGATTTCCCCCTCCTTCCCCCCTGCCAATCCCTGCCCCTTAGAGGATCTTCGACAATATGTTACTACTATGGTGTGTGTGGCTGTAAATGGTGAACCGGTAATAGGAGTAATACACAAGCCCTTCTCAGCATATACAGGTATGAGTATGCATCTCTTCCCCCCCCTACCTTCCCCTGCCATTTTCACTGACACAGTTAATTTAACACTTGATGGAGAATCTGTAGTTATGAATGAATAGAATAGTAGTTAATACAGGAAAACGAAAATGTTGTTGTTATTTAATTATATAGTGGTAATGTCCAAAGCTCTTAAGATTGTGATACCCACAAAACACAGGAAAATATGGTCTTTGTGGGGCAGAAGAATGGTACATGGGACAAACTTTAACCAAAAATACATTTGTTGGTGAAGCTCTTTCACTGAAGCATTAAGAATAAAATAACATTGTATATATGGACCTCTGTTCTATCACCTGTATGGTGAGCAGCGTTTTGCTCACACGAGTCTTAGTGAAGTTCATGTGGCTGCTCCCATGAGCAAATTATTTCTTATCAGAAAGGGTAACAAAATCAGGACATTGATCAGGGCACCTGCAGAAATTGTTCCTGTTGTACCCATTGTGGCCCCAGCCCCTCATCTGTCAAAGTCTGTGCCATCTGACACATCCTGTCCCGGTATGGTAGCCTGAGGCTTTTTGAGGTTTTCCTGAGATGGCTGTGGTGAATGACTATCTACAGCTCATTGGGGGGAAACTCTGTCTGTGCCCATTCACGGAAAATATTCCCAAAACATCTGCTTCCAGAAATAAAGGTGCTCTTTTCTGGGGGCCAAGAGCCCTGCTCTGACTCAGTGCAGGCTAGCAGTTTACACATCCCACTGTTACATTGCCCATTTCCTTATCTTCTGGACACCCACACAAGTTCACTGCCTTTGGAAAAGCAATGTGCCCTGGTTAATTGATTTCACGTTAGTTCAACATACTCCTTAGCGTAGAGTGTTTATATAGGTTTGAAGTAAAACCACACTGAAGTTTATTTAACAGAGCTTGAGACTCAATAAAAGCAAGCGTAAGCTTTTGGAAACACAAAGTTGCCGGTTAAAGAGAAACATAAGATGCAATCCTCTATAGCTTGTACTTATAAACATGTTGCTTTCCTGTCTATAAAGTATTTCTCACCCAAAGGTTAGTCCTTGCAGCACTTGTTAGTCCAAAGAGCTGCCCTGCCCCAGACACAGCAGTTGTGATGCCACTCACTCAATTTTGGCCCTGCAGTCTCTCCATCATGATGAGCAAACCTGAGTTCATCATCAGGGTGGCCAATACTGCTCTGTCTCACCGTAGCCAGTGGTGCGTACCCTGTTCAATGTTTCTCTGACTGTAGGCACCACTGTTAATAAAAGTTATGTGTCAATCTTTCCCCATTGTTTTAAACACAAGACTGTGTATTCCAAGCATGCAGCACTTGCATAGAGAATCTTTCCCCATTGTTTTAAACACAAGACTCTGTCTATTCCAAGCATGCAGCACTTGCATACACTTGGAATAAGGAAATGGGCACTTTTGACACTTTTGAAGCACTGATGAGGATGGATATGAATTTAAGTATATACATTCAAGGATAAGCGATTGCCAGTAACTTCTGAAAGTCTCAGACAGCAAAGCAAGTGTTGAGTATATTTGAAGGAATGTGTGTTATATTCTTGGATAAATACATAAGCTAATAAAATGTTTCCCATTTTAGTTAGGCCATACTGACCTCTAGAGTCTAGATAAGTTAGGCAGTAGCTCGGATTACCGCAACTAAGCTTGTTCAAATGAACTAGGTTTTCTACCTAACTGAGTATTCAGTATTGTGATTCTCCTCCCCTCCGCCCCCTAGCATTTTTAATGTGAACTTTAATTCCAGTTATCATAACACTTTATTTTCACATTTGCATGTATCTTGACTTTTTCTAAAGCACCTGCCAAACCAATTATTGAAGAGCTGATTTTCTTTCCAACAAAAATTCTGCTGTCATTGCAACTGGGAATTTGCCACGCTCTTTCTTAAGAGGAAAAAAAAGAATCTGCAATGATAACTCATCATAAATCTTAAGGAATGGCATCCAAACAATTTTTTTAAATATACAAATATTGGTATCCAATTACTCAAGATTACAGGTTGAAGGGGGTAACTTTCCAAACCAGAAATACCACGGCCTTTCATTTTGTTCATGAGCCTTCTCTACCACACAGATATAAATCAGTAAGGGGAAAGACATATTTTAAAGATTGCCAATTAGTTCAGTCTCTGCCTACATAGTCTCAGCCTGTCTTCTGTGCTGAAAACACTAGCTAGAACTCCAAACAAACATCAAATTGTAATGGCTTTTGGACATATCAAATCAAGGGTGGTTTTGAACTAGTGATCTAGAAGTGGAAATCTGCACATCCCAAATTCAGTCTCCTGAATCAATGTTTTCTAAAAATAAACATTTTCATAGTCATCTTCCTCTATCTTAAAGATGACTGTATTTTGTTGACTGGTTTAAAGGAAAAAAGTGAAATTTCACTATCAATTTGAAATTTAGTCAGTGTAAAAGACTGAGCTGAAGGAATTTCAGGTAGCATCATCTACGTTACATCTGCCCCTGAATCTCGCTGTGAAATTTACAATAATATTTTTTCCAGGATTTTACTTTTTATGAAGATTACAGTTAAACCTAACTGTGCACTAAGTACACATTCAAAAAAAGAGATGTTTGTTTCCCATAAGGTCTGGTTTAATAATATTATGTGTTTACTGCTAACAACAACAGGAAAAAAATTCAGGCAGAAGCACAACTTTTTTTTTTATTTTTTATTTTTTTTTTTAAGTAAATGTCTCTTTTTAATAATACCTCTAAAAGAGCAGATGCCTTCAAAACCCAGTAATGGAATGTATGTTTCTTTTGTAGCTTGGGCAATGGTGGACAGTGGGTCAAATATAAAAGCTCGTTCTTCCTACAATGAGAGAACTCCAAGAATTATTGTGTCCCGCTCTCATGCAGGAAAAGTAGAACAAGTAGCACGGCAAACATTTGGAAATAAAACTGTGATCATCCCAGCAGGTGGAGCAGGTTTGTTATCTTTAAGCATTCCAGATATTTTATTGCTTGTGGATTACTTAGGAAGGAAATTGTTATTAAACTGGAGAAGTGACCCAAAAAAGTAACTTGCAGCAGAAGTACTGTACTTCCTGCATCCAGAAATTCAAATTTAAACCTATTTCAGATTGTGAGGAGGGAACTGAGTGGCAGGAAAAGGAGTAAGTATGCAAATAGCAGGCACAACATGAAACAGCAGAAAAAAGAATGGGTGCATAGAGAGAAGAGCATTTGGCTGTCTTTTGCTCTATGCTAATTTAAAAATATCAGAGTGAAACTGGCCGTTATGTTAAGAGGAGGCTGGTAATCATGAACAGAAACAGAAGTTGTTTCACTGTTCAGTGCCATGAGAAAACAATAAAAAGACTGTAGTTTCAGATGTGTAAGCTGAAAATTGAAGAAAAAGGAATTCAGTGATTCAAGAATCTAATAATCCCAGGAGTGATCTAACTACCAGCAATCAAATTGATTGGAGGGTATTTTATATTAAATGTCATGGCAAAATTGGTTCATAGTATAGTTGGAATGTGCCTATATAAAGTGTAAGCACAAGTGTGAAACAATTACCCACTTGAAGATCCTGCAAAATGGAGGTACAGGTTGGACTTCCCTGATCCAGCACTCTTAGGATCTAAGTGGTCCCAAACAAGGGAATTTGCCGGACTAGAGGAGGTCAGGACTCTGGGCTTTACTGCTGGGGCTCCCCTCCTGGCTGCTGCCCTAGGAGAACCCAGAGGTCTGACCTCATCTGGCCCACTTGGGGCTCCTCCTTTTGCCCACTTGCAGAGTTCTGCTGTCTGCCCCCAGCCATGTGCAAGGTGGCATCTGCTCCCTAGGGGAGGCTGCCGGTTTCCACACAGGGTAGCAGTTGCTCCTGAAGCTCCTTGTCCCACTGTTCAGCCCCACACTGGGCGCAGCCTCTCCCGGGACTCTCTGTCCCCAAGTCACTGGCCCTGCTGGCCACTGCCCACCAGAGCAACTCTGCTCCCAGCCACTCTCAACCTCTGCGGCTGGGGCGCTCTGGTCTAGCAACATCTGTGGTCCTGCTGGACTACAGATGTTGCTAGACCAGACAGGTTCAACCTGTGAGTTCTGAATTTCACAAAAGGGCATCTTCCCATTTCTTTGTACGGACAGCTATATCTGGTACTTTTTTTTAAAAGGAGGAAGTTCATAATGTCTCATGTTGAGGACCAGTCATGAATAAGAATAAGTCTAAAGAAGCTGGGTCATGGTTAGCAGTTTAATTGACATTGCATGTATCCCATTCCACTTAGCTGCAAGTAAAATGGAGAAGTTTTAGCATGAATGCAGAGGGGTTAGCTGTCTTTATGAAATGAGTGAGTAGGGAGCTTTGTACAAGAATGAAGTCAATTGGTAAAATGAAGAAATCTTACTACATGTACATATGTTTATGAATTGGAAATGTTTCATAGGCATGCCAGCTAGAATTAAGAAAATGGTGCATTTGAGAGTAAAATTGAGGAGGAAAAGCAATGCAATTTGTGGCAAAGCAAACAAACCCAAGAGCAAAACTCTATCCTTTAGTTAAAAACATATGCAGTCTGATTCTGTTGATGTGCCTCTTGATGTCTTATGTATCTGACAAACCAGTAGAGGATAGTGCAAAGGAAATGACTGTGTTAAAAATGGGTTTTTCAAGTGTGAGATATAGTAGAAAAATCGATTTCAGCACTTTGCAGGAAGTATAACAGAAGGTGAGGGCTTATGTATGCACCATTACATTCTCAGCTAACATGACAGAGTTAACAATCATTTTTGTTATTGTTCACTTCTATGTGAACATGTAATTGTTAATTTCTTTATTTTGTGATTAATTATGAAAGTTTGTTTTTCATTAACTGGTGGTGTTATCTTTCTAACTTTCTAGGCTATAAAGTCTTAGCCCTCCTTGATGTGCCTGACAAGAAACAAGAAAAAGCTGATGTGTATATTCACGTGACATACATCAAGAAGTGGGATATATGTGCCGGGAATGCTGTGCTAAAAGCATTGGGTGGTCACATGACTACCTTGACGGGTGAAGAAATCAGTTATACTGGTTCAGATGGCAATGAGGGGGGACTCCTAGCCAGTATCAATATGAATCATCAAGCATTGGTTGACAAGCTCCCAAATCTGGAGAAGGCATCAAACAAACAAACATAACTGCTGATGTGTACACAAATGCTTCTGTGGCCTCACAATGTTTAGCCTGAGGAAACAGGTGTGAAAAGAGCCTGCTGGGGACTAGGCACTGAAAACCAAGGCAACTCAAAGTGTTTTTTGGGGGAACTATATATAGCATTGGGCTTCTTCATTGGTGGTGGATACAAATTCAGAATTAGGAAGGTGACTGAACTTCCTCATGCCATTGTCAGTCTTGAGACTTTTTCCATCCAGTTATATTCAAGGTGCATATATGGTATATATTTGTGAATATAGGCAAATGAAAAGAAAATCCAGATGGGTACTTAGATTATTATAAGTGACATTTTTCATGGATTCTTGGAACATGTCACACTTTTACGGTATAGTAGCTGCTCCATCTTGAATCAGGTAGAAGAAAGGATTGATTTTTATGTAGTCACTTGATGACCCTGTAAACTGCCTAGCATGAAAGATGAATTCCACATTCCCTTGGATTAAAAGCACAAGTTGCATACACATTTATGTTTGCTTTCAACAGTTCATCTTTGACAGAATAGTATTTTTGAATAAGACATGTTCTGTACTAGTTTGCTGGTCATTTTTCCTGAAAACTTAAACCAATTTAAGTCACATGAGAAAAACATGAATATTGGTGTTTTTATTAATCAGTGTTGTTATTTTCTGTATATCTTTTAAAAAGAAAATAACTGATTCCTTGTATGGGTTTTTAACAGGTTAACACTTGACCTTGATTTCAGTTTGCTATGTTAAAGGTGCATGCTAGAGTTTTCTCTAATGTGGGATTAGTTCAATGTTTGTCCCTGTAGAAGCAGCCACCTTTCCTTTTAATGTCTTTTCATTCACTAAGTTACTAGACAAATGAATATGACATTTTTGTTGGTTATAGTAAGTCGTCGGGTTAACTTACAATATGGATGCAAACTAGCAGTTTTTTAGAATTCCAAAATTAACTTGTTGGCTTTTCAAAGGTTGAATTTCCTTTGAAAGATGTATTGTTTCCTTCTTTGCTATAAACTCACTGTAATTCTGAACAGTCTGTGGCCACGTATTCACCTTGGCATTTAGCTCTGTGTTAAGTTACAACGTGTTCCCAGAATCTAAAATGGGATTTAGAATTTTTTGATGGCCTGTGGCATTGCTTGTACCTCAGTCTGAAAAGTGGTACTTTTCAATTAATTCCACTTCCGAGTTTTAGCTTCATTCATATGGGACAAAACATTAGTCCTTTTAGGTCAGATAACAAATAGCAGTTCCACCAACATCTGTGGGCCTTTCTCTTCTGAAAATATAAGGAGGTAGTAGAATGTAAGGAGGTAGTAGAATAATATTTAATAAAACAAGTTTAAAAGTACATTTTTTTTAGTACTTGTGGATAAATGTCTCATCTTCTTAAGGAAACAAATTTTAATTTTAAATACAAGTCCTTGCAAGTCTAAGTTTATTCAATGCAAATATAAGCCATTTATGCAAAATTTATATTCCCCCTGGGAAAATGTTTTGTCTTCACTCCACTCCAGTAACCATCCATCTGGTAAAAGGTGGGTGACACTGCCTATGGGATAACTTTAAGCTCTTGATTTAAGAACTGTAAATACATCAGTGATTTCCTCATGCTACAAAATAAAACAAATATGCTCTTTTTCAGTGGACAGAATTATTCTGGACAATTACAATTGTAAACTTTGCTGAAGAACTAAAGTCAACTATTTATAGTGCAGTAGGTTAATTTTTTTTAACCATTAAAGAACATTGGTTAGACACAATTTAGAAATAGTCATAGTAAACCTATTAGTAAAAGCTAACTGCATCATAGAGATAGGGCAAAAATGTGTTACATAATACTAAGGTGAAGGTTTGGATTTGGAGACCATGCAAACTTCCCAGTAAGTATGTGACTGCTTGTTAGATGGGACTGATTCTGCCAACCTTACTTACATAGGGTTAGATTGTGGTCAGATGACACACAGCAGCCAATTCCAGGAAGTAAGAAGGGGTAACAACTTCCCTTACATCCCTATATATGCCTCTTAGATAAGGGAATAAAAGGGGGAATATTCACCTGCTTAATTTATCACCATAGCATATGATCAGGAATGGGCAAAGCTATAGCTTCAGTCCCTTGACTTGCTGTCCATAGTGACTAGCCTTTAATCAGCAAGATGACTACTTGCTTATAGGTTCAAAGTATTCAACACTTCGCAGGATCATGTCCCTATTGTGGGTGTAAGCCAGCAGTAAATTACTACCTCCTAGAACTAAGGAGAAGGAGTCTGTGGAGGAATGATAATTCAGAGGCATGCCTGAATTACACTGCCTCTTGATGCTGTCTGAGTGGGCACAGTGATCATACCACCTCTTGTACAGGGTTGTGCCTTGAGTCTCACAATCTAGCTCAAAGAAGGAGCCCTTTAAAACTGGCAGAATTGTGCCCTTGGTTAACATCAAGCTTTCTGATGTTTTCATGTTAGAAAGTACTTAATTTTTTTGCACAGTCCAGCTAGTATTTAAAAATACTTAGTGTACATTTGGGCATTTGTGATGGAAGTAAGGCCCTCTCTATTACTATTCAGTTCATCATGTTTTTGCTGTGTTCCTAAACATAGTATTAGCCCAGCTTGGATATGACACAATTTGGCCTTGCCCATGTGATAAAGATTAAGTCGTGCTCAGCATGGTAAGGGATCACACTGTAACATTATCCTCTACATGGGCTAGATACAATGTTACTTTGGTTACAGCCCTTTGGTCTCTTCCATTTAAACCAAACCGTTTTGAGTACTGCTACTATAATCTTTAGAGATGCTGCTGAAACATAATATTTATAGTGTAGTTTGAGGCCTTCAATAGTACCTCTTTTCCAAATTTTTCATTTAAAATTACCATAGTTATTAGAAGGGAAGCCCAGGATAACATTTTATTTTTGGCAGTGGTTTAATTTGATGGTTCAACCAAGGTGATAAGGCTTTAGAATATCTTGATTTATAATACTTTGTTTTTATCAGTGCTGTAGTTCACAATAAAAGGTGGCGTAGATGCTACATAGCATTGTACCAAAAGTTCTAATTTGCATTCCTTGAATGCCAAATATTTCTAAATTAAATAAATATGGAAATAAAGGGGTTGAATATTGTGCTTACAAAAAGGCTTTTTGTTTTATATATTTTTATTAGATAAAAGCTGATGTACAAAGGCTTTGTTCTTACACACACTGCTGTTACAAAGATTTTAATGTCTACATAGATATAATTGGCTTGGTGCATATGGGGATTTTTGGGGTTAATTTTGAAAGCAAGTTGGGGAAACAATTTAGAAAAGGTAATCAATGGTAGCATAGGGGAAACAGTTACTTTGATTCATGTTTTGGTTACTTATTGCCATTCCAATATATCTTATCGCCCTTCAGTATTTAAAAAAATGAGTTAACCAACATAATAATGTTCTAATAGTACAAGAGCAAAATTTCCACCATTAACAAAATGAAGCTACAGCATACTAACAGTATGGAAACAAGAAGTCTGTTCCTTCCTCCCAATCATTTTAGGAATGAATTTTGAATGCTATGCTGCCAACTGTACACTCAAATGCAAGGGTGGCAAAATACAGCCTGCAGGCCAGATGCAGCCTAGAGGGAGCCTCAGTCAGGCTCCCTGTCTTCCCCACCCCTGCAGGCTTTTGAGAGCAGCTGTCTGCATGGGCCATGTGCTTCTGGTAGGAGGGGAAGGGAGGCTTGAGCTGCCACTGCTCCCAGCACAATCTCACAGACGGAAACTGGCCAATGGGAGCTGCCTGTTTTGGAGGACAGGTAGCGTGCGATGTATCCATCCCTTGGGGCTTGTAGAGTTTAAAGAAGCACACAGTCCCTGTAGTCCATGGGAAAGGCAGGGAGCCTGGCTGAGTGACCTACTGGGCTGCAGGCTTGGAACAAAACACATAAGTGCCACCCGGCTACAGCCTGCCTCTCGCTTTCCAGCCTCTTCCACCCACTGCCCCCTGCCCTCCCTTTTCCCAAACTCCCTCTCAGATCCCAAACCTGCTCCTGTGCCTCAGTCTCCTACCACAAGCTCCCTTCGGCACCCAACTACCACTCCAGACCCCATACCATCTCGGTTAATATGGAAGTGTGTGGCTCTACACCACTTTCCAAATTCTTGGAGTAGCCCCTATGTAAAATTATTGCCCACCCGTACTCTGTCAACTGAACCCAGCATCTGCACTGACATCTTGCTGTGGCTTTAAACTTTTTAATGAGATTCTCCCTCTGTTTTCCTCTTTATTTTTTTTGTTTTTTAAGAGAAAGTTAGGACTTGTAACTGTGCCAATGTAACATTTTTCTTGCATATTTAAACTTGTATTTTTCTTGTATTTTTGTTTTGGGGATGGAGAGAGAAATGTTGATGGAAAAATTCAATTTAGGTTGAAGGGGTTCAGGTCATATTGAGACTTCTAAGAAACCTACATTACTCTTGGCAGTTTAGACCTCTTGACCCAAATTATACATGACATTATGTTGTAAGTGAATCTTATGCTTTCTCTTATTTATTAAATCAGTCTTTAAAATTAAGGTATCTCCAACTCCTGCCGACTTCTTAAATTGCAGAGGCGGTGTTGTCTACAATAGTTGCTAATTAGTAAGGTTAAGATTTTCTTCAAAAGTAACAGACAGGTCATGGGAATCCATGAATTTTTGTTTATTGCCTGGTCTGTAACTTTTACTAAAAATAATGGGATAGGCAACTAATTCCAAGTTGCATATCAGCCAGAAGAAAAGAATTTCCTGTAGTACTAAAAGTCAGAAATGAAATTGAATTTAAAATGTGAGAATTGTGGGAATAGTATAATACACTGTTAATATAACTTCTCAACATGTAGCTATTACACTCACAATATCAATGTGTTAGCTGGCTGAGTGCAAAAATTAAATCTTCACATTTTACAATATTAATTCTGCAAAAAAAAGAGTATCTAGTCACCTACTCAGTCATTCAGTAACACAGTAAAACACTTAATAATGAACTGAGTGGTGGTACAGAATGCAAAATTACATTTTATTTTTAAATCTCTTAGGCAAGAACACTGTAGAGAAGGTGGGTGTCTTTAAACCAGAGTGGTGGCTGGCTGCTTCCTCCTGGCAGTTGAACAAACCACTTCCCTGTTCCATTCCTATTTGTGTAAAAGTTGAAAAATTGTCCTTGGGCAGAGAGTGTAACAAGCGTGTAGCAATACAAGCAATATTTTGCATGGATGAGTAGCATTAGGAAAGTATTTAGTATCTTTGTACTTGTCATTTAATGTGATTAGCTGCTGGAACAAAGAACAACCAATGCAACCAGCTAATTCTCTATGGACCAGTTTCAGAACTCTTGCGGTAGAGAACTTTTTATGCACCCTATGTGAAAATTGTGCTCTATTTTATAAGTGTGTGTCTATGCTAGGATTGCTTTTCGGATATAGGAACACAAGCATAGAACGCCAGTAAAGTGTTCCAAGTGTGGATCCAGCTGTGTGGGCAGAGCTGCCCTTTGTACCACTACCAAAAACTCCAAGATGAGCAAAACGTGCTGTACTGATAAAAGTGCAGTTTTGCTGGTATAACTTTGTCTACACCAGCAGCTTCTGCTGATGTAGCCTTGTCATTGCCTGGACCAACAGTGCTATGTTGGCAGAAGTCAACATGTAGAGTTAGCTTCAGGCTTGTGAAAAACAAAAGAACATTGGCAGTGCACGCTGCTGCACAATAAAGGCAAATGCAGACTCTGAATAGATGTATTAATTGAAAGAATTGAATGGATATGTAACTGACTTTCAAAAATTGATGAGTTTTGGGAAGGAGTGAAAAGCTGGGTCATGGAGTTAATCCTTTGTCTAAACATATACCATGCTTAGTGAGTGGTAAGAGAAATGACACCAGCCATAAAAGATTCTCACAAGTGATTGGTATTGTTTGAAGCAGGCCTATAAAGAACTATTAAAAGCCAAGACACTCAACTGACGTGCTAGAGAAGAAAGTTGCCATAAGTGGTGTTTTTTAGTGTGGTTTTTCAATGCTTCATAGTGATGGTAAATAAATTGCAAGTAAAAGCAATTGCAAAAGAAAGAAGAAAAGTCTTCCAAAAATCTAAGATTATTAAAAGAGAACTACTAACCAATTATCTGACTGTCAGTTATTTGAAGAAAAATCAAGTAGTTCCCTTCATATACCTCTCCTTTCTTCTTCCATCTCCCCCCTTTTGTTTGGTTTATTACCTTTGCAGCTATAGTACAAACAGCTTAACAAAACAATTGCAGTATTTATGTATTGTGCTTCATCTTCTCTTCTCTTTTCCCCCCCCCCCCCGCAAAAAAACAAACAAA